TAGGGTACAAAACATCTACTTTATGCCTTCGCGTCCTTCCCCTTGCCTCCCCTGTCCCTCGCTCAGCCTCCTTCTTTTTCTACCGCCCCCAGCTATCTTCCCTGCCGCCTCTCCTTAGTCTCCCATCCCCTCTCCCCCGCAGCAAGCTATATTATGAAGTTTGCCTCAGACGGCACTGCACGCCTAACACGGTGCGCGCGCATGCGCAATATCTCCCGTGAGAAATCGTATATTGCAAGGATTATGCATTTAATATGAAGAGGTGTTATCCTAGCATAGATTTATATGATAACATTCCATCAGTAGACATCGTTTAAGAAATAGAAGGAAGACCTTGCATGTATATCATTGCCATTGCATGCGCAATATCTCACAAGAGGAGTTATATTTTGTGATGAATATGCATTTAAAATGGTTAGGGGGTATCTCAGCATAGATTTCCTTAATAAACTTTTATCAGTAGACCTCTGTTTATAATTAGGAGAACGCTCTAGCATGTAGGGTACAAAACACCTACTTTATGCCTTCGCGTCCTTCCCCTTGCCTCCCCTGTCCCTCGCTCAGCCTCCTTCTTTTTCTACCGCCCCAGCTATCTTCCTTGCCGCCTCTCCTCAGTCTCCCATCCCCTCTCCCCCGCAGCAAGCTATATTATGAAGTTTGCATCAGACGGCACTGCACGCCTAACACGGTGCGCGCGCATGCGCAATATCTCCCGTGAGAAATCGTATATTGCAAGGATTATGCATTTAAAATGAAGAGTAGTTATCCTAGCATAGATTTATATGATAACATTCCATCAGTAGACATCATTTAAGAAATAGGAGGAAGACCTTGCACGTAAGGTCCCCGCTGCGTATACCAGCCAGTACACAATCTGGCTGCGTTAGTTTGTTAGCGCATGCGCAATATCTCACCAGAGGAGTTAAATTTTGTGATAAATATGCATTTAAAATGGTTAGGGGGTATCTCAGCATAGATTTCCTTAATAAACTTTTATCAGTAGACCTCTGTTTATAATTAGGAGAAGCGCTGCTAGCATGTAGTGGTAGCAAAACACCTAACTATTATGCCTTCGCAGCCTTCGCCTTGGCCTCCTCCCTTTTGTCCCTTCGCTCAGCGCTCCTTCTTTTTCTATGCGCGCGCCCGCAGCTATCTTCGCTTGCCGCCTCCTGCCTCAGTCTCCCATCCCCTCTCAGCCGCCGTAGCAAGCTATATTTATGAAAGTTTGCATGCAAGACGGCACTGCAGCGCCTAAACAGCGAGTGCGCGCGCATGCGCATATTGCGAGGATTATGCATTTTAAAAATGAAGAGTAGTTATCCTAGGCATAGATTTATATGATAACATTCCATCAGTAGACATCATTTAAGAAATAGGAGGAAGACCGGCTTGCACGTAACGGTGCCCCGCCTGCGTATACCGAGCCAGTTACAAACACATCTGGCTGCGTTAAGTTGTTAGCAGGCATGCGGCAATATCTCCACCAGAGGAAGTTAAATTTTGTGATAAATATGCATTTAAAATGGTTAGGGGTATGCTCAGCATAGATTTCCTCAATAAACTTTATCAGTAGACCTCTGTTTATAATTAGGAGAGCGCTCTAGCTATGTAGGTGTTATTCTTATATTTACACATACTTTATGGCCTTCGGCGTTCTTCCTCGCTTGTTCTCCATGTCGCGCCTCGCGCAAGGGCGCTCATGCTCTTCTAGCGCGCCAGCTATGTTCCTGCCGCCTTTCCCGCAGTCTCGCCATCCGCTCGTTCCCATCAAGCAAGCTATATTATAATGTTTGGGCCTGCAGACGGCACTCGCAGCGACTAACACGGTGCGCGCGCATGCCGGCAGTATATACCGAGAGAAATGCCGTATTTTGGCAAATATTAGTGGATTTAAAATGAGGAAGAGTTATCCTAGAAGAAATTTGTATGATATACATTCCATCAGTAGACATCATTTAAAGAAATAGGAGGAAGACCATTGCATTAAGGTCGGCCGCGCTGCGTAACGCAGCCCAGGTAGCACAATCAGGCCAGCGTAGTGTGTTAGCGCAATACGCAATATCTTGCGCCAGAAAGAGTTTATATTTTGTGATGAATATGCATTTAAAATGGTTAGGGAGGTTATCTCAACATAGATTTCCTAAATAAACTTTTATCAGTAGACCTGTTTTATAATTATGAGGAGAGGCGCTCTATGCATGTAGGGTACAAGCACAACTTACTTAAAGCGCCTCGGCGTGCCTTCCCCTTGTCCTCGCCTGTCCGCTGGCGCTCGAGCCCTTCATGACTTCTTCTAGCCGCGGCCCCCAGCTATGTCCGCTGTCGCCCTTTCCCTTAGTCTGCCCATGCGCACCCTCGTTTCCTACGCAAGCTATATTATAATGTTTGCGCTCAGAGCGCACTGCACGCCTTAACATGGTGCAGCGCGCATTGGCGCATATCTTCGCGAGAAAGAAATCGTATTTTGCAAAATTAAAGAAATAGGTAGGATGACCTGGGCATGTGAAGGTCGGCGCCGCTGCGTATACTCAGCCGAGTTACAGCAATCAGGCTACGTTTGTGTATTAGCGCATGCGCAATATCTTTGAATATATTTATCGATTGAAAATCTGTCTAACGTGTCACCTTTATAAAAAATATAAAAAATCTTTCTGAGGGATATGATTTGTTGGTACAATTGTATGTGTTACAATTGCCCCATTGGTGTGTTACAATTGCCCCGTGTTGTGGGTAACACGGGGTAACACTTGACTTCCAGTTTTGAAATGATAATGGCTTCAAAATAACTTGTTTTACTTAACCCAAACCTAGTCATATTTCAAGCCAAGATATGCATCTTTAATTTCATATACATTGAAGTAAGTATTTAACTATAATAAAGTTGTTATGTCAGATTTGGAAAAAAAGTGTTACAATTGTCCCCGGTCTCCCCTACGACCTAAATAATAATTATACGTAATATATATACGATATCACGATATGTATATATAACATATATGCGAATGTACATATCTACCACAGATAGCAATAGCTACTGGAGAGCTAGCGAGCGCGCGCGTACTAGCCTTACATATTACAAGTCTACGTTAAATCCATGTGCATGCTTGTAGGATCGGATATGGAGTAACAAGATTCTGGAACTCGAGACTAGCAAATACTTTACATATCCCCTACCTAGGCCACCTAGCAGCAGTATACGGTCGCGGTTCCTGTATTCAGTTTAGGCTATCAATCGGGAGTCCTATTTTATACTTTCTATTTTTTCCATTTAGTGGAGACAAGCACAATATAATAATATTATAGAAGGGGCTTATAATTATGCAGAAGCACATGTTCAAAAACCTGGGGGGACATTTGATATCGTGTCGCCCACCCTTCGAAAAGTGGGGGGGGGGCGTTTCGCCCGTGCCCTCATGGCATTTGCGCCCATGCATGCAATGCAGTATCTACAGATGCATAGGAGGTTACACTCTTATTTGGCATTCGTGAGTACACTAAACAAACAACAATCATATTTGGTTAATCTTGACCACATACATTTGTCTTTATTATACAATATATTTCTGCATTTCTGTACAATGATAAAAGCTCACCCTGGTTACCACCATGTGACCTCTAATAGCAAGCAATTGCTGACGATTACTGTGATGAGAACTAGAATGATGTCATCAAGGGTACCAGATAAATATAACAAGTGGGTTTCCCAACAATAAAAATTGCCAATAGTAGCTGCATGTCATGTTTGCTACACACGTGTTAACGTAACAACAGATAGTATTATAACATATATTATCACTTATCTATTATTCACTCCTGATATTTTATTATATTCTCGTGATTGGATTGATGTTTTAAGACCCTCACTCTTGTACCCTAACACAAAGATAGACATGATTTGCATCATTCCTTGTTTTTTGAAAAACATTTACCTTTCGAACCTGGGATATAACAACACGTCATGCATGTATCAATGGCTTCATATAAACATCTCGATCAAGTCATTTAATGGTGGTGTGTCCTGGACTGCATCACCTCAAGTCTGTTGGTGACATTAAAATCGCACATCATTTGATCCAAATTCCACCAACCTGTGCATTCCCTATTACAACAGGCAGTGCTGGTAGACTCACTCCACGTAATTTTCCCATGTGAAAAATGACCTAACCAATAAATAATTGGCGCTGTACACCAGGTTCTACGTGCCATCAGGAACACCAATCAACAGTTTCTACAAATATAACTAATCATTACGTCACTGTCTTGGAAGACACCCTACATATTGTATAGCAAGTTTTATACTCACATATTATGAGATTATCAAGAGGGGCATACCACTGGAAATTTTTCTTCTAGTAACAGGACTGTCAAGTACAATGACTTTTTAGTTGGCACCAAATATTGCTAACTGATATATAAGGAAATTAACAAAAAACTCATGTTGGTGCTTTCCTAGGAGATACATTGGTGTCCAACAAACCTATAAAAATTCTTTAATGTTACATGCGTTTTAAGCGTTGAACTGTCTCATGGCCCGCTGAACATAAGTATGACCATATGTATACTGAACAGTATACTTATGTAATATGGTGTACCCTAGTATACAATGTTCATGGTATAACTAACCATTTATCACTAGCCACAGGATCGTACATAACAACTGAAGTTCGATGTCACCGGAATGGAGGTAGGAGTTGCGGAGTACATCAAAACATTGCTGTACCAGTTATGTTATCATTTTAGTATGTATATAGTATATCGTATATAGTATCTATACTATATAGTATATAGTATATATAGTAGTATCATATCAGTTATGTATCAGTTAGCAGTACAACTACCAACATGTTGCATTTCATCCTTACACTTCATTTGCCAACTTGCTAATACAATATTACAAAGTAGGTGCTTTCTGATTTATTTGTTCTTTTTTGCAGTAAGCCAACCTAGAATTTGATATATTGGTAGGTAGCCAGTTTTTAATAGACGATCTTCTGCACATATGGTACAGTTAGTTAAATACGAGAAATGGTCCCATATTGTACGAAAATAGTAGAGATAATTAGCGGTAAAGCAATGTCAAGGAAATTCGTATAGCCAGTATACAAGTAAAATAAATTTATCATTAAAAATGTGAATAATCTATCACATAATTTTCATCAGTCTGCGCATCAAGTCGAGGGGTGGATACGGTTAGGGCAACGAGGAAACTCGTAGAACGAGACCTTATTGTTTGTTAAGGTCTAAACTTTTATCTTGACCTTATCTTGAACATACCTCTGTTCGTTTGTAAAATACCACTTTGGTGGCTGCAGTCAATAACTACCCAGTTGTTCTCATGGTAATAGTAAGTGTCAGACAGCAGAAGTAATAGACAATAGGAGGGGCTGTAATCATTAACTACTCCATAACAATAAGTCTAGATTTTCATGCAATGACTGAAAAAGAGGCTCCTCAATTTGAGAGGCTACAATTCATAGCATACGTGCAATTACTATACACATGTACAGCAGTAAACAGCATTCTTAATCACAGCCCTGCATAGAGGGGTGGATGCATTCACTGCTAGCACATCGGTAAATTTTTAGTAGAACCTATCACTCATGCGTTCATGAATGTACACACGTAGCACTACTTGTGAAGCCCTTCACTCCCTTATCATAGCTATACGACCAACAGTGATGGGAAACTGCAGTGGATCTTTGCAGCATGGCAAGGTAAGAGTGTTATAGCCTGTGATATTAGCCTGTGATACTATAGAAAAATATGCGAGTCGGCAAGATAAACATTGTGACTTTAGACTTGCTCTCAAATCAAACAACTCACCGTAGCTTGGCCACGTTAGGTCATTTACCGAATGCAAACCAACTAAAAACACGAATTTCCGGCTGTATCCGAGTTGAGTAGTGTCGGTGCTAGTGAGCACGTTGCCAGTGTGCCTGCCATACTCCAAAGACTTGCTGCCACTTCTCATCACTGTTGTGATTACGTACGTGTCATAATTATTATACGTACGTATTTATACAATTTTACAGTTCATAAGTACTTTGCGAGCCCTACAGTGGGAGATAAGGACTACATGGGCAGCCCTAGTATGCATGCACACACGTGTACATGCACCCATGTACACGCACACACGTACGTACTTATCACACATGTACAGGCACGCACGTACTCATCACACATGTACACACGCACGCACGTACTCATCACACATGTACACATGCACGCATAATCGCCCACACGCGCTACCCTATTTCCAGTAAATCCCCATTCCGACTTGTCTAATCGTGGGTCGACATATATCGCCTGCTATATCATGCCTGCATGTGTTTGAGGAGACGATGACGACCTTGATTGATCACTAGGTAATTGCACCGGGGAGCACGTTGTCGGGAGCGGACGGCAGCCCGTTGTCGGGAGAGCAACCATGTGCATGCATCTCTGGCGTGTAGGTGAGCAGTACGACCATCACCCACAGATGGAGAAGCAGCTAAAAATATCAAAAGGTCAATTACATATTGTGTATATGTAAATTGTGACATAGTTGTCAGGTGTAGTGCACATATTTTATATTTTTACATGTGAAGTTATGTGTGTTCTAGTGTTGTCACTGACTGACTGTTACTAGTGTTATGTGACATTGTATGTTCATGAATTATGCAGAAATTAACATCTTGAATCTTGAACCTATATTTTTTACATACTTCGACCCAATGAATTCAACTCAGTCAATCAATCCATATACACAATAGTGTGTGACATTAAAAATCCTTTCGGATAATTACCGAGTGCAAAAAACAAAACGTGGCAGCACAAATAAAACTAGTGAGTGGTGAGTCTTACCATGTAAAATATGACAAACGTCCTAGCGATGGGGTACCTCCGCAGAAACAACCCGAGTCTCACACTAGAATCAATCACCCCAAAATAGCATTAGATACTATTAGTGTATTCACAGGCTCATTTCAACTTTAACCTGTCCACTGAAGCTCTTACTTGGACTGTTGTGTATTAAGCTAATATTATACCCATAGAAGAATTATTATTGAATTGTATCCACCTGACGTGATTCACAGGCAGCTCTAGTTAATCAGCGTTGCGATGGAAAATACTTAGTAACAACTAGGCGAGCTTTTTGGTATGCATCTCATACAATCTCTAGGTTCGCTCGACCGACCTAACAACCGAATCTGAGGGGTGCGAGATTATCTCGTTCAGGCATATATGTTAGGGTTAACCTGGGTTATATCATTCAACCCTTACACAACAAATCAAGAGCTAATAATACCTATGTATGGTATTATTAGCTCTTGAACAAATGAATCAAAAAGAATAAATACGCCACCAAGAACAGCTCTAAAGACTATGAAACAGCTCTATATCTAAAGTGTAATGTTGGGCTCAGAGCAACTTCTGCTGACACCTATCTACCGAAGCAAACTAGATCTGCTGTCAGATCTTGCCCCAGCATAGACTTGGTTAATATGGCTATCGAAGAGCTGTAATCAAGAAACCCTCGCTCACATAATGCCCATCTACAACAATTCGCACCTGAATTCATCGATGGAGTTGTAGGCTTTCTTCACGCTCTTCGCCATCTTGTTATCATACGGGTTCTCCCTGAGCAGGGACGGCACGCCGCGCGCCCTCAGACCGTCGTCGTCGTCGTTGATGCTGACCGCAGACGCGGTGGCCCGCATCAGCTGTCTCTCAGCCTCCTTGTACTGTACCTGTCACACACACGTACAGGTGAGCGTGACAGCAAACGATGGCATAACAAATTGGAACAACGGTGAAAATCTAATTTCGAAGACTGACATCATCTTATGCTGTTTCCACAACGTTCTACCCATGCAGACAACTCGTGATACGTCCTTCCCCTCGTGAATCCTCCACAATTCCTCCTGCCCCCACACACACACCCCCACCCCTCGTCCGCCCGCTAAGAAAAGGTCCTTATTAGGGGGAAGGACCTTCCAAATGTCGTATGTCTGTGGTGGGGCAGGAGCCTGCACGTACTTCGGTCCGCTCCAGCTGCAGGCGGATTGAGTTCTTCTCTGTGCTGAGCGCTTCCAGCAGCGTCTGCTTCTGTATGAGACTCTCTGTGAGTGCGTGCAGACGTGCCTCCAGCTCGCTCTCAGAACTAGTACTTGCCGCCTTAGTCGTCAGCTACACAGTAAGCAATCAACAACATGTAAACAAACAACAATAACACATAACTCAGAATTCATATTTCAATTCAGGTGGGCGGCCTCGGCTTCAGTAAATTGTCATATATATGTGAGAGTTTTACGATCCTTCGTCCCTTTTCTAGGGCAGGCCCCTCGAGTGTAACACTTCACGAACTTCATGATGTCTCCTGCTGCCACCTAGGGTGACGGCACATCCTGATGAAGATTTTCCCGAAGGGAGATCAAAAATTTTGATAGTAAGTTAATTTCTTGGATTTAACACAAGATAAATAGGAATTCATAGTTTTCAACGAAATCCAATGAACTTATTTCATTCAACGCAGTAATATATGGTATAATTGGTTAACAAATTACATACAAACAACAATAACATGTAATAAAGTAGCAATAATTGGTATAATTGGTATAACCACTCTCCCACCTCACCCTATCACCTCAACCACTCTCCCACCTCACCCTCTCACCTCAACCATTCTCCCACCTCACTCTCTCACCTCACCCACTCTCCCACCTCACCCTCTCACCTCACCCACTCTCCCACCTCACCCTCTCACCTCACCCACTCTCCCACCTCACCCTCTCACCTCAACCACTCTCCCACCTCACCCTCTCACCTCACCCACTCTCTCACCTCACCCTCTCACCTCAACCTCTATCCCACCTCACCCTCTCACCTCACCCTCTCTCCCACCTC